ACATTTGATAGATGGGCTCATTGATCCATTCCTTCCTTGAAGAGATGTTTGAACCTTTATAAAGGCCAGAACCTGTGTTAGCTACAAGGGATGTAACTATGACCACGATAGACATGGTTGGCCCCTATGTTTTAGTTTCTTACAGTCTAATGGAGAAGACAAGACAATGAAAAGGGAATTATAAATCGTTTTTGGGTCACATTCTTCAATATGAACACCAGAGAAACTTAAATATACTTACGAGTAAGGGTGAGGGAGGGGAAATTGATGTCAGGATTTTGTAGGACTAGGGAATTTGCTGAGGTATATGTCAACCTCAGACTGACTCCTAATCATTCATAAAAATATTACTGTCTTCCCTTCAAATACATCTCGGAGGGGCGCCCTACTCTTGGTTTCAGCTCAGGTCACTTAAGGTCCAACTCTTGGTTTTAGCTCAGGTCATGATCTCAGGGGTGTGAGATCGAGCCCTGGGTCAGGTTCTGCATTCAGTGTGGAGTCTGCTTAGGACTCTTTCCCTCAGCCTCTCCATCTGTGTGCTTGCTTTCTCTCTCTCTCAAATAAATAAATCTTTTTTAAAAATTAAAAATGAAAACACCTCAGGGAAGAGTGTAGCTGACAGTGGCTTCCAAGGTTACCAGTGGTCTCGGTCTTGGTACATCTCTGGTGTACTGTGCACATTTTGTAAGGGAAGGGGGACATTTAGGGCCTGTCTAGGCTTACCAGATTTAGCAAATAAAAATCTAGGACATTCAGTTAAATTTTAATTTTGAATAACCAACAAATTCTTTTTTCATATAAGTATGTCCCAATTGCATGGAACATAGTTACACTAAAAAAAAAAAAAATTCATTGTTTATCTGAAATTCAAATTTAACTGGGCTTCCTGTATTTTCATTTGAAAATCCATTAGAGAACAAACCCTATATTAGAGAACAAGGGCAAAAATAGTGAGGAAATCTCAATAATGTGTCTCAAAGAAGAATCTTTACAGGAGCCTGATTTTTTAGCTTGGACACAATGACAGTAAGAATCTAGATTTTTGGTAGGGAAGCATTTTCCAAACACTTTTTCTAATAGTATATATGGAAATTAGCAAATGGTACACTGGGAGGGGTTAAAAAAAAAAAAAAAGCTTTTGAGGTCAAAGATTTGGGAAACATTGCATGAAACAGCTTTCCCATTTTGGAGTTCACGGTATGCAGAAACATGGAGAATGTTCTGAGCAGACTTAAAGGAAACAGACCTGGTTGACCCGGTTTGACTTAACATGCCTACAGAATGCTATTTATGGTCTTTTGTCTGTTTGTTTTGATATGTTTGTTTTATGGAGGACACCCATGAATATTGTGCAAACTTACTACTCTGCCCAGCACACTTTGGGAACACTGGTATGAAAAATGAAAGTTTTCTTCAATTCTCCAAAGTGCTGCTGGGTAGGGAGGAAGCTGATTTAGTCTTTGTAAGCCAAAGGGCCGAGCTGTACCCAATGCACGGACACATCTGGGGGACAGATTTTTGGCCCGACGTAAAGACTAGAACTTTCTAACAATTAAAATAGTCTGAAAGGTAATGAGCTCCCTGTTTGAAGACATTAAAGCAAAGCCAAACTGCTATCAGGGACACTAGAGGAAATTCTTGTTTTGTGGAGGAAATTCTCCGGGTCTGCTAGGAAAGCTGGATTCACATAAGACACAGAGAGGCCTCCACCAGAAACAGACCTTAAAAATATGTCCCGTGTTCTATATCCTTTCTGCAGTCTGAGTTTATCCCTCTTATATTCTTACTGTGTTTCCTTCACACTTCTGGGCTGGATCTCTCAAGGATATTAGTCCTCTCAAGCTAAAGAGCTTTGTTCTGATCTGAGCCTCTTCATAGCACAGGTCTTGGCTCTTTGGAACCCCACCCTCGGGCTCCACTCTGGGAGCGACTTACGGACCTCCTGAGTAAACTAGAGCTCACTTTTGAGCTAAGCACCTCAGAAGTGGATGGCGTGTGGTGAAACTTGGCCCCCACGCCCCCAGGGCTGTGAGCCTCTCCCAGGTGGTGTCCACAGTGGGAACAGACCACCGTATATCTGAGGGGTTCCACATAACAGAAATCAATAGAGGTTCAAATCCCAACTCTGCCTCTTCCTGGGTCTATGACCTGGAGAAAATTGCTCGGCCTCTCCAACTTGTATTCTCTCTGTGGAAGAAAAAGAAAAAGAAAAAAAAAAAAAAACCAAGGATGATAATATCTGCATCATAATATCATGGAAATGAAAAGAGATTAAAAGTACATTCCAAAGATCCAACAGAATGCCAGTACAAAGTAGACATTCAGTCAATGTTTAATGGATGACTGTGATTATTACCATCTTGGTAAAGACTTTCAGAGAAGTTAAGACTTCTGTAGAATTTCAACAATCAGTGTGCCAAGACTTCAGGCTTTAGCCAAAGCAATAAGCTGGGGATTGTCTCCATCTCTAACACCTTCCTTTTGAGGACTTGAGAATGGAAAGTAATGCATGTGTGTTTAAAATCACAGTTTTCCTTCCTGCAGGTTTTGGGCCAGTGCTAGGAGGAACACTGGATTTGGGGGCAGGTGGCCCTGGTTCTTGGTTTAAGTGACTCTGCCACCTCCTCCATGCTGGACTCCAGTCCTCATCTGTAGCATGAAGGGGCTGCACTAAATTTCTTCAGGTTCCATGAGCTGCGCCTTTGAACAGGGGTTGCTGGAGGCAGATGGGTAAGTAATGGTCCTGGCACTTAGTGAAAGAAAGACCTTGCCAAACTAAAGCAACGTGTATGTAGGTGTGTGTACACACTGCAACAGGATTTGAAGTCACTTTAATTGCCCTCTGCTCTTGTGCCCATCTGTAAGTTTGGCAAATAAGGAATTAGACCCAGAATTAGTTGTGAAGGCGTGACCTCTGCATGGGGAGAGCTGAGTTCGAGTTTCAGTGCCGACCCTGCTGGCAGAGCCTGCTGTCCAGGGTGTGACTCTCCCTCCCGTCCCCACCTTGGCCTCCCCATCTTTCACGTGACACATTTGGTTCTAGGATCTACAAGCTCTGTCTCTCCTGGGAAAGCGTCTCTGATCTATTTTCGCTTGGGTTTGCATGCTCTCCTCAAGGACTCTCATCACGATGACTCAAGTTTTGCTTCTCTCTTTTATTTAATCCGCTCTGGTTTCATAACACAAGCCCTACAGCCAATTTTAGCGTTTCTTAGATTATGGGAGTGTCCGCATGAAGGTACCAGAGCACTGGTCTCCGTTTCTGCCCAGGATACTTGTCTCCCCCTTCCCCACGCTGCCCACCCCGACACTCCCTTCCATTCTGGCACAGGCAGAGCCCCCCTCCCCCTGGATGACACACTAAGCGGAGTCTGGTTTTCCCATTAGCCGAGAGGAGGCCCTGAAGTCAGAAATCCTTGGCACATGACTCACTCGGTCCCTTTGTGCTTCATTTCCCCCAGTTATAAACAGGTGGAGTCTCGTACTTTCTCACCTCCCAGTGCTCGCCCCCCACCACCAGGGAAGGGCTTTTGTGCCCATGAGGCATCCCCTTTTTTCACAGATGGGCTCCCTCCAGTATCACAGCCCGGGGCATTCTCTAGGAAAACAATGTGTCTCTCTGTCTCTCTGCTTCTGCCCTCGGTCCCCTTCAGACTTCCTTTCATTACTGCCCTGAGACACAGAACTTTCTAAAACCCAGAAGCAACCTTCAGTGGCTCCCTATTACCTTCAGGGTAAAGATCTCAGCTGACAAGCGGGTTCACAAGGAAGCACAACGGCAGCTCCTCCTGAGGACTAATGACTCATCCGACCGTACACTACCTGATTTGTGCTCCTTCGCTGGGGCCTGAGAAGTACATGTGGTGCGCGTTGGGAACAACTAGAGACGGGGGAACCAGACTTGGGCCCTGTGTTTAAGAGGCCTACATGCTTTCCGAAAAGGTAAACAGACATACAAAAAATAATAACATTTTTCTGTTTTAAGTACTGGAGTTGCTCTTAGAAATCACTGGCCTGGGGGCACCTGGGTGGCTCAGTGGGTTAAAGTCTCTGCCTTCAGCTCAGGTCATGGTCTCAGGGTCCTGAGATCGAGCCCCGCATCAGGCTCTCTGCTGAGCAGGGAGCCTGCTTCTTCCCTCCCTCTCTGCCTGCCTCTCTGTCTGCTTGTGATCTCTGTCTGTCAAATAAATGGATAAAATCTTTAAAAAAACAAAAAAAAAAAGAAAGAAAGAAAAAAAAAAAAAAAGAAATCACCGGCCTGGCCCAACAGCCTTGTTTCACACTTGTGGAAACGGATGTCACAGAAAACACGGCTCTTAATGGATCTCCCTGTCTCTACTCTGCCTCTACGACCGGGGACCCCTCTTCCCTCTGCAGCCAGAGTCATGCTTCTGAGGGACATGTGATGTTATCACTCCCCATGTGAACGTTTTCTGGGGCCCCACTATAACTGCAAGGAAGCCAAGCATCTTCCTGGGCCCAGGGTCCTGGAGCAGTACGGCCCCTACAGCCTTGTCCTTGCCTCTCGTGGCACTGCCCTTCTGTCAGATCTTCAGGCTTCTTTGTGTGAGTCGGTCTCAACTGTGACGGCATCTCCTCAGGGCTGTCCTCCGGGATGTGAGCGCAAGGGGGACACACGGCCACGCTCCCTCTCTTCATCACCGTGATGAGGTCATTCCCAGACCCTATCACCATCCACGCCATCTTGCTGATTCGATTGTGTTTCTTCTTTACAATCTATGTCTACTCACTAGAGGGTAAAGTGAAGGAGGGCTGGGGTTCGCCTCTATCTCTAATGTCTACAGCACGGTGGCTCACAGTTGATACAAAGGAAATATTTGTTAAATGACTAATCACACAAACAAATGAATACATAGTGAAGGAAATTTGAAAATGGAGAATAGTAAAAAGAAACCAACAAAAACCACTCATACTTCCTCCTTCTGGATATTGCTTCTGTTGATATTTTGGAGTATTTCTTTTTTTTCAGGTCTTTTTTCCCCCATAGGTATATATAGGATATATAGTATGCATCTGATAGAAAATAAGATTATGCTAAATTATGGCTTTTTTTCTCTTTTCATTATGAGATTTTTATCTCTTATCATATATTTTTCTCTTATCATTATCGTTACTTCTCATATCATTGCCTTTCTATATGCTATGAAATTAACTTTTAAAATAATATTTTAAATGCTGCATAAATTACCTATGAATATACCAAAATTAACTAAAATATTTCCTTAATCTTGGACACTGGCTTAATTTTTTTTTTCCTAACTGATCTACTCTCTCTCCAAACCATCTTACAAGAATTTGGCTTTTACAATACATGTGATAATCTCTCTTTGCTGTGAGTTGCTGAATGGAAGACATTACTTTCTTTCCAGGAAACATCAACAGACCAATACTTCATTTTGTATGTTTTCCTGTCACCTCCTTCAGTGAGGATTGACTTAGTTGACCATCTAGTTATTAAGTCAAAGACTTGCGGTTAGTACAGCGTTATGTTTCTATGACTTCTGTTTGAGATAAACCATTATAAGTGTTCACAACTGAGTACAGTCAACGGAGAAACAGAGGCCAGGCGCCATTGCATCTAGCGCATACTCTTAACTCAGGGCAATTGCCTGTTGAAATTAATCAGTGCTCAGGGATGCATGGTTTGAGAATTTCCAAACATTCACACTTGTAAAATCCCTGTGGATTAAAAAGAATGGTAAAGATAGCAAACACCCTCAAGGGATGAAAAAGGAAACTGAGACTCAGACGTATCTTTGGTGAACTTGATTTCAGAAAAGATTTTACAGAGCTGGAAGAGACCTTAGAGCTGAACTATCCCAACCTGTCATGCTTTAAAGATGAGGAAATAGAGGTCCAGACAAGGAAGGGCGTTGTACTGGGTCACCATACCACCAGCTTGTGGTAAGGCTGTGATGAGAACCCACTTCCTCTTCCTTCCCATCCATCAGCCTTTCCACCGCCCTAGCTTTGGGGGCCTTGTCAACAGTCAACACTTAGCAGAGTCTGCGCCTGGGCTCTGTTTCCTTGAGTGCTAAGAAATCTCCTCACTTCACCTAGAGGATGGGCTAGGAGATCAGCACCACGAGGGTGCAAGCATGAAACAATACACAAGGCCAAACAACCCCTTCTTGTCAGCCCCAGTGCCATCTAGCACCACGCACCCTTAGATGGCATGGGTCTCTCCTAACTCACTCTTTCCACACTCCTCCTGCAATGATCTGTTGATGTCCATCTCTCCCCCCTAGACTAGTAGCTTCCTGAAAACCGATGCTCTTTCTCCTTTGGTTTTTCAGCACTCCATAACAAATCAGTGCCTGGCCAATAATAGATGCTCCGTAAATATTTGCTGAATCCGTGAGTAAAAACTTCACTTCTGGGGAAAAAAAACCCACTTAGTTTCTGTATTAGTTTGCTAGGGTTGCCAGAACAAAATAGCACAGACGGAGTGCCTTAAACAACACCTATTCATTTGTTCACAGTCGTGGAGGCTGGATGTCCAAGATCAAGGTGTTGGTAGGGTTGGTTTCCTCTGAGGCCACCCTTCCACTGCCTCTTCACAGGGTCCTTCCTCTGTGCATCTGAACCCCTTCTGCCGTCTCTTTCTGGGACTTGATCCCCTCTTCTCTGAAGGACCCCAACCAGGTTGGAGTAGGGCCCACCCTCATGTCCTCATCTTCTCTCAGTCACCTCTTCAAAGCCCTGAATATAGTCACATTCTGAGGTAGTGGGAGTTGACACTTGAACATATGAATTTGGGGAGAATGTAAAAATGGACACCTCTGTGCTCTAATACAGGGAAGTACAAAGCCAGTAGAACCCGGGTAATGGTGTGATGATACCAAGCGTCCCCCGGGTGTCATGCTCTCTTCTAGGCACAGAAGGTAACACCTAAATTAATCCTCTCCAGGACTAAACGCCAGCAAACATTCACTAGTGCCTGCCATGTCAATCACCGTGCTGGAGCTCAAAGATTCACAAATGTATAAGCTTAGATCACAGGAGAAAGACTCGGGCTGTTTGATAAGAAAACACACACACACACACACCTGGTGTGCTGCCTCAGCCCATTTCTGCCACGTTTACTGCCCCCATGCTAGTTGTTATTCCCCAGCCAAGTAATTTCGTCTGTGTCCAACCAGGAAAATGATCAACACTTGGCAGATGAAGAAACCGACAAATAGCCAGGAAGTGGCGTTTCCCCCATCGCACAGCTAGTAAAGTGCAGGCCCAGGACTTAAACACACTCATTCCAGCCCCATGCTCTCTTAACCTGTGCCCCACACTGCCTCTCCCTGATGAGGAGTCTTATTCCTTTTATCCCAGTAGGAGGGGGATATGAGACCTCGGCCAAAAGGAGGGAAATTTTTTTTTAAGATTTTATTTATTTATTTGACAGAGATCACAAGTAAGCAAAGAGACTGGCAGAGAGAGAGAGAGGGAAGCAGGCTCCCTGCTGAGCCAAGAGCCCGATGCGGGGCTCCATGCCAGGACTCTGAGATCATGACCTGAGCCGAAGGCAGAGTCTTAACCTACTGAGCCACCCAGGTGCCCCCAAAAGGAGGGAAATTTAAACAGAGCCACAAGTGGGTTAAAGAGCAGAGAAGACAATTAAAAATAGAGAAAATAGGATTGTAAAGGCCCAGGATCATAAGACGATGGCTGAGCTGGTGGCACGGAGGGCTGGGGAGTACAGAGAGGCAGTGAAGGTGAATTGCAGTCAGATTAGCTGAGGTCTTATTTCACAGAATAATAAAATTGGGCTTGATGGTCTAGACATTGACATGCTTTTGGATATTTTAGCACAAAATCATTTCATCGTACCTCTTCGTTTTACCAACAAGGAAACCAAGGGCCAGAGAGGAAAGATTTGCCCAAGGCCAGACAATTGGTTAGTGGCAGAGCTGACACCAGCACCCAGATCTCTCAGTCCTGAGCCAAAGCCACACTCTGCTAAACTCAGCCTGCGTAAGCATATAGAAACTGACATAATTTAAAGGAATGGGTTTTTCCCCCATGTTTTCCCATGTCTTTCATCCAGTTTTCACCCACTTTTTGGGGGGATCAAGTGTACATTTCCCCAAGTTTCAAGTAATTAACATCTTTCATCTAAAGGAACTACTATGGTTTAAAGTCAGAAAGATCCCATATAAATCACTGATGATGCTGTGTGGTTCCGTGGAGTGTGGCCGAATGGCTCACCGGTACGTTTTATAGACTAGAAGGACCTGTATTTCTTATGCCAAATAGACACTTTGAGATAGAGCGATAAATGAAACAGCCACTCTGGCTGGGTTTGTTTTACCAAACAGATATATCAGGTTAGCAAACATTGACTGGTGCCCGCTGCATGGCAGGTGTGGTGCTAGAGCCTTGAGATCTGAAGATATGTAAGCTCAGTTCCCGGGGAAAAAGGCTCTCACAGTTTAATAGTGAAATGCACAAGCTTAACCATGTACACACCGCTCCCCCCGCACCCACCAATACACGCACACACATTTGCTATGCTGTCTCAGGCTGTTTCTGCCATGCTTCTAGCTTCCCCATTGTAGTGATTCCCCAATCAGGGGATTCAGGCTGTGTCCAACCAGGAAAACGGAAACCACCTCAGGTCTTTCAACCTAAGCAATTTCATATAAAGGATTAGAGGCACAGGTGAGAGAAGAGATGAGAAGCCAAACAGGGATGGTAAGGAACCAGAGATCAGCAACAGCGGTAGGATACGCCTTCTCCTGAGCCTGGAGGGACAGCCTGGAGATGGTGGTATCACAAGATCCCCAAAAGCCAGGGGATTATTTGGCAGGAGCTCGGTTATTTGCCAGAGTACGTGAAGCCGCTGAGGGAGGTGCCTCCAGAGGCAGAGAGAGGAGAAATAGGCTTCCCTGCACCTCTCGCCCCGCCTTCTGTCGCACACTCCCGCTAGCCACACTGCAGCCTGGAGGTCCCTATGGTGCAAAGCAGAGCAGGGGAGGCACCAGGAAAGGAACAGATTGCAGACAGGGGCTGACTGGCACCCGGGTGACCTTGGGCAAATCAGTTGCTCTCAGTTTTAGTTTCCTGGTTGGTAATTTGAGAAGAACAACACCTCTCACGTTTGTTGTGAGGCTTACATGAAATAAAATCTATGAAAGCACTTTATAAGCTTCAAAAGGCACGGAAGGGCTTTTATTACTGGCTTTCATTCAAAGTATTTGAGACTTTGGGTTCTGGGGAAAAAGAAATGGGGTAATGCTCAGGTGTCGTCAGGAACTTGGCAATGCCCAGTTGATGGCCGGAGCAAAACGAAGTAACGGCATTTTACCACTTGTTCCTTCATTGCATCACTCTGGTCCACCAGCCTTTTTGAAAGCCACGGGCTGACTTTGAATAAACTGGCACATAACTGAAAGGATGTCAGAGCGCGCTCTCGGTTCTATTTGGGGATCTGTCTGTGGTTTTGCATCAAAAAGTGACAAATAAAGAGAACTCTAGAAATTACTCTGAGACCATTGCCCCACCCCTTCTGTTTGACAGAGGACCAGAGAGGAGACAGGCTTGGCACATTGTCCCATGCCAAATTCTCGGCAGAGAGGGACGAACAGCCTTGAAGGAGACCCTTCCCCCTTCTTCAGCCCTCCTCCTTGAGCCTTCGGGTTTCTAGGCAGCCCCATACAGCAGCTGGTATGGCAACGTTTCCTTGCTCTTTTCCATGATCCTTCTTTCCCGCGAGCTTCCTTCCTTTCCTGTTAGTCTTAAGCCTCTTCTTCCTAATCGTCTTTGACAGCTCATTCTCACGCAGCTCTTCTGCTCTACTCTGCTGATGGACATCGGAAGCGGAGCGCTAAACCATGTCTGTTTTAAGGGGAGAGTGTCAACTCTTCTAAATCACGCAATTCTGCTTTGATACCGGGAGTGGGCAAGGACCATCACAAACTCCGGGGAGACCAGTGTTTCTGCTGAGCTCAGGTGACAATAATATGGTGCAATCTCTTCCTTTCTACCTGCAGAAGGTACAGGCCATGGCCAGAACTTTTGACTAAGCGCCAGGCCACTCC